CCCCCATCTCCCCCCGTGTCCCCCGTGTCCCCCCGTGTCCCCGATGTCCCCCGATGTCCCGCTGCGTTCCCGCAGGACGATCCCCCGGTCGCTGCCCGCTCTGTGTCGGCTCTGTCGCGGTTCCTGTCGTGGCTGCGCCGCCTGTGCCGGCCCCTCTCGGGCCCCGTCCTGCTCTGGTCCCTCTACCTGGGGGTCGCCACCGTGGGGCTGCTGCGAGCCCTGGGCCAGCGGGCCCGGGGGGCGGCGACCCCCGCCCGCCACAGAGGGAGCCGGGAGCGGGGGGAGCGCAACGGCCCGAGGGGCAGCGAGGGGGCAATGAGGGGCAGCGAGGGGGCACGGCCCGAGGGGGCACGGCCCGAGGCTCGGCACGGCAGCAGGAGGAAGAAGTAGCCCCTGCAGCCCCCTCCCCAAAAATCGGGGGGTGGGGGGCAGGCCCCGGGTGGGGTCCCCGTGTGCCTTCAGCGCAGGGTGGGGACAGCGGAGGGGGCCTGGGGACACCTCCCACTGCCCGGGCAGCGCTTGGGGACCCCTCCCCAGGGTTTGGGGGCTGCTTGGGGACCCCTCCCCAGGGTTTGGGGGCTCCTGGGGACCCCTCCCCAGGGTTTGGGGCTCCTGGGGACCCCTCCCCAGGGTTTGGGGGCTGCCTGGGGACCCTTCCCCAGGGTTTGGGGGCTGCTTGGGGATGTATCCCAGTGTCTGGGGACCCCTCCCCAAGGTTTGGGGGCTGCCTGGGGACCCTTCCCAAGGGTTTGGGGGCTGCTTGGGGATGTGTCCTGGTGTTTGGGGACCCCTCCCCATTGCCCTGGATCCCCTTGGGGACCCATCCCCGATGTCCAGGGACCCCTCCCCATTGCCCTGGATCCCCTTGGGGACCCCCCCATGCCCCCCAGGGGGGTCTCAGCACAGCTCAGGGGCCCAGAGCAGGGTGGGGGGCTCTGTGCCCACGGGCTGGAGCAGTCGGGGCAGTGTCAGCCCCCCCCTCATTCCCCTGCCCAGCCCCTCAGGTCACTTTGGGGTGTCCCCCGGGCCCTTTGGGGTGTCCCCCCGGCTCTTTGGGGTGTCCCCCCGGTTCTTTGGGGTGTCCCCCGGGCACTTTGGGGTGTCCCCCCGGTTCTTTGGGGGGTCCCCCCGGCTCTTTGGGGTGTCCCCCGGTTCTTTGGGGTGTCCCCCCGGTTCTTTGGGGTGTCCCCCGGGCCCTTTGGGGTGTCCCCCGGGCCCTTTGGGGTGTCCCCCCGGTTCTTTGGGGTGTCCCCCCGGCCCTTTGGGGTGTCCCCCCGGTTCTTTGGGGTGTCCCCCCGAGCCCAGAGCTTTCCTATAATTTTCTAATTAAAGCCTTTGACATTCCAGCCCCGCCGCTCCTGTGGGATTTGGGGGCTCCGGCAGAAGCTCATTTATTGTGGAGCCCCGGCGCGGGGTCTGGGGGTGCTGGGGGGTCCCGGCGGGGTTCCGGGGGTCCCGGCAGGGTTGCGGGGGTCCCGGTGGGGTTCAGGGGGTCCCGGCGGGGTTCCGGGGGTCCCGGCGGGGGTCTGGGGGTCCCCGCGGGG